CCTGCTTCTATCTTATCCATTCCCTTCATAATTTTATATGTTTCTATAAGATCCCCCCTCATTCCTCTAAATCCCAATGAGTATAGATCCATAATTTCTATGCATTTGGGGCTCAGGGAAGTCCTACAGTAGCTGTATAGCTCTATGTAGTGAGGGGTTATGAAAGTCCTTGGATCTGTGAGGGGCTCAAAATAAGCCAGTGTGCAATTAATATCTCAGTCTGCAGAGAGACAGTTTTGAAAGTGTACAACAGTCTTTGCTAGATTGGGGCTCAGAAAAACAAATCCAGGGACAGTGGTGAAGATAACAAAGTGTGGAGCTAGAGGAACACACCAGGCCAGGCAGCATCAGAAGAACAGGAAAGGTCGGGACCCTACTTCTTTTTCTAAAGAAGGGTCCCGACCCGAAACGTCAGCTTCCCTGCTCCTCTAATGCTGCCTGACCTGCTGTCTTCCTCCAGCTCCACACTGTGTTATCTCTGACTCCAGTATCTGCAGTTCTTGCTATCTCAGTGGTGAAGATCACAATTTGTGAAAAGTTGGTGTTATATCTGTGTGTGCAGCTCCCAAGATAGGAAGATGGACTGTCACAATGTGAGAAGTCGTTGAAGTAGTCCATGACAGAACAGTTGTTTGGGAATTTCAAATCCAAACCACTGAAAGTGAAGAACTGTAAACTATTTAAAATGTTAATGAAATTTGATGACCACAATGTAACTAATGGGGTAAATGTTGAGAAATCCCTGGTATCTATTTGATTTCACTTGCTATTTGATGTGTTCTTAGGGGTATTTGATTATAGTCAGGCTGTTATCCATATTTGCCTCATGTTAATTTTGGAGTGTTAGAGTATAAATGATGTCTATTTTTGCACAATGCATTTTTTGTCAATGTCTTTGTATGTTTGTTTAAGTTTTATTTGTAATAAACTCGCTGTTCTTCAATGAAAGAAGAAACCTAGCTGCATTGTTTCTAATCATGAACCAGGTACAACACACAAAATTGGCCATATCACCACCCTGGATCAATTTTAAATTTGATATGACACTAGAGGAGTGGGACTAGAAAGGAATTTGTGTCCCCTCCAAACCCAGTTGCAATAACGTATTTGAAGAGATATACAAAGAGGAAATGTTTCAATTTGCGGGGGAGTCTGAATTTAGAGAACACTGCTAACAAGAATAAATTCAAGAGAGAATTCAGGAGAAATCTCTGGTGATAATCTGGAACTTGACATTACAAGGAACATTTGAGTTAAATATCACAAATGGATTTAAGTGGAAATGAGATAAACACTCATGAAAGAAAAGGATCCACTGTCAGTGTTCGATAAAGAGGGATGGGAAGAGGTTAGTAAGGAGCATAAAAGTACATCAAAAACTAGTTGGGCCAAATGGCCTGTTTCTCAGTAGCATAGTGCTGTGCACTGAATGTGTAGCACGTTAACCATGTTCACACATAAATCTGTAATTGAAATAACTTCACTGGAAGCAAATAAGTTACTTGCTTTGAGTTCCAACACTTACAAATACTTCTCACCCACCTGCAGAAAGACAGAGAAGAGGAATGGATGCTGAAGATAGCACAGGGAAGCAAAGACTCCATCATCCTGGAAAGGCTCGAATGGGACATGCAGTATGAAGTGCAGATCACAGCTGTTAACAAGCTGGGTTCCTCCGAGCCAACCATCTACGAGTTCACCATGCCACCAAAGCCCAACACCATCGCCAGTAAGTCACATCTTCTGCTTAAATGTCCAATGGGATTTACACAGCTGAACAGACCTGGTGTACACTAAGCCCTCCACTGCCGGTGGTGGTAGAGCACTATCCCCATAAGAAGATGTCACAATTTTGGGCAGGCCATGTGCATTGATTTCTAGTAAGAATGAATTTATATGGCTGAATGTGCATGCTTCAGATAGGCAAGGGATTGTGACATTGTCTTGCTTGTCCTAGTGAGAATTGATCTTTCCACCTTGACATTAAAATTCTCATCCTTGTCCTTGAATCCCCCATGGTCCCATATCTCTGTGATTTCCCCTACAACTTTAAACTCTGTCAGGTCTCAATACTGCTTTCATTCTGGCCTCTTAAGGAGTCTCAATTGTCATTGCTTCACTGCTGTTGGCCATGCTTTCGGCTTTCTGTGTCCTGTGCCTAGAATTCTCTTCCTTCCAAAAAACTCCTACACCTCTCAATCTCAATTTCCCATTTCAGATGCTTACCAAAAGCTACCTCTTTGGCCAAACCCTCTCCTCAGATTTCGTTACACCTCTTGGGATCACATCTAGTTTCACAAACTTTCTTGTGAAATGCCTTGGAATATTTTCACTGCATCAAAGCTCCTTTCCAAATTCAAGTTTGCATTCTTTAAAAAGCTGCAGAATGTTTGGGGTGAGGGTGAATGGGGCAGGAGCGCAATGGAACATAAAACATAGAGCATAGAACAGTACAGCACAGGAGCAGGCCATTCAGCCCATGGTGTTCTGCTGGACATGATGCCAAATTAAACTAATCTCTTCTGCCTGCCCCCTTAGTCCATATCCCTCCACTCTTTGCATATCCATATGCTTATCTAAAAACTCCTTAAATGCTCTATTGCATCTGCCTCTACCACCACCCTGGCAGAGCGTTCCAGATTCCTGCCACTCTCTATGTAAATATTTTCCCTTCACATCTCATTTGAATTTTCCCCTCTCACCTTAAATGCATGCCCCCTAGTTTTAGACATTTCAACTCCGGGAAAAAAGATCCTGACTGTCATCTAGGTATCTCATAATTTTATAGACTTCTATCAAATAACCCCTCAGTCTCTGCTGTTCCAGAGAAAACAGCCTGAGTTTTTCTAGTCTCTCCTTACAGCTTATACCCTCTAATCCAGGTGGCGTCCTGGTAAATAACAGGGGTAAATGATTTCTTTGCCAAAGCATAGTTACTATCTAAAGGCAAAATACTGCGAGTCTGGAAATCTGAAACAAATACAGAGAACACCGGAGAAATTCATTGTCTGGCAGCATCTGCAGTGAGAAAGAGAGACACAGGTAATGGTTTTGATTCTGACATGACACTTAGTTGTAGAGATGTACAGCATGGAAACTGACCGTTTGGTCCAACTCGTCCATGTGGTACCAGATATCCTAAACTAATCTAGTCACATTTGCCAGCATTTGGACTATATCCCTCTAAACCCTTCCTATTCATATACCCATCTGGTTGCCTTTTAAATGTTGTAATTGTACCAGCCTCCACCATTTCCTCCGACGGCTCATTCCACACATGCACCACCCTCTGAGTGAAAATGTTGTCCTTAGGCCCCTTTACAATTTTTCCCCTCTCACCTTAAACCTATGCCCTCTAGTTTTGGACTCCCCACCCCGGCGAAAATACCTTGGCTATTCACCCTATCCATGCCCCTTATGATTTTATAAACCTCTATAAGGTCACCCCTCAGCCCCCGATGCTCCAGGGAAAATAGCCCCAGCCTACTCAACATCTCCCTAGCTAAAATCTTCCAACCCTCGCAACATCTTCGTAAATCTTTTCTGAACCCTTTCAAGTTTCACAACATCAATCCTATAACAGGGAGGACCCCAGCCCAATACCAGCACCACCATATTATAGCAGGGAGACTAGAACTGCACGCAGTATTCCATTAGTGGCCTAACCAATGTCCCGTACAGCTGCAACATGACCTCCCAACTCCTATACTCAATGCACTGACCAATAAAAGCGAGCATCCCAAGTGCCTTCTTCACTATCCTGACATCCTGCAACTCCACTTTCAAGGAACAATGAACCTGCACTCCAAGGTCTCTTAGTTCAGCAACATTCCCCAGGACCTTACCATAAAGTGTATAAGTCCTGCCCTGATTTGCCTTTCCAAAATGCAGCACCTCACATTTATCTAAACTAAACTTCTTCAGAACATGATATGTGGTCTTCTGAGGAAAAGTCATACTGGACTCAAATATGAACTGTGTTTCACACTCCGCAGATGCTGCGAGACCTAGTGACTTTCTCAAGCATTCTCTGTGTTTGTTTCAGCTTTTCAAACCAAAGTATTTTGCCTTTAGACAATAACTATGCTTTGATAGTGAAATTAGTTACAAGATGTTGCCTGGATTCGAGACTATGAGCTATAAGGAGAGGCTAGAAAAGTTGGGGTTGTTTTCTCAGGAGTGGCGGAGGCTGAGGGGAGACTTGACAGAAGTCTATAAAATTATGAGGTGCATAGATGACAGTCACTTACTGATCTTCTCCAGCATTCTCTGTGTTTTGTTCATAGTTACTGCCTGTTCCTGTGCTCTTCTTGCATTCTCTTCACCTCTAATGACTTTCACCGTCGTTTTCTCTTGTCACTCTTCTGCCCCCTCTCTCCATAACCCTTCTCCCTTTCATCTCCCTTTCAGGTCAGTAATCTAAAACTGTGTGTCATTGTACAAGATTATAATGTCTCTGCTATATATCTTACCGTAACTGCATAAATCCAGAACCTGCGAAAATTCCCAATTACAACAGGGCTTTAAAAACAAAGTTGCTGGAAAAGCTCAGCAGGTCTGGCAGCATCTGTGGAGGAGAAAACAGAATTAACGTTTCGGGTCCGGTGACCCTTCCTCAGAACCGGACCCGAAATGTTAACTCTGTTTTCTCCTCCACAGATGCTGCCAGACCTGCTGAGCTTTCCCAGCAACTTTGTTTTTGTTCCTGATTTACAGCATCCGCAGTTCTTTCGGTTTTTACAACAGGGCTTTTATGATTTCAGAACTAAAGTACATCTTCTCGAAAGAACATCCATGTGCAAAGATTACAGAATGTTGAAACAAAAATGCATTTTAAATTTATTTTCAAAATCTTGTTCCATGAAAGGCAACTTATAAGAAATGGATTTTCTTTGAATAAAATGGTTTCACAGACTTCAAGCCTGTGACATATGGTGAGCACTTTGAGTTTGGGAACATTGATAAAAGGGAATGCGGCAAACTTAATTTTTCTGTTTTATTTCTTCTCGGATGGTTACTTTTAAGAATGTTCTAACCAGGCTAAAGTGCATTATCTTGTCAAAGAGTGCAGCTTTCAGGTCAAATGAACTTCATTACAAAGTAAATATGATGCATACTTCTATAAATGCATTTAGTTGTGAAAACGCAGAATATATTTGAACAAAATTGAAAGCTTTGTGCATGGCAGACAATACTCACAGATCACATCCTGCTCTCAGCTCATATTAGCTTATGGTTTTCTTTGCTGGAATAGTTCATCATTCTGTTATCACATCATATTTCTAGAAATATATTTTTCTCCTTGGCGGTTCTTGTTGAGCTCATCAAGGCAAAAAGAAATAAGTTGCGTTTTGTGTTGTGTTTTCATAACCTCCAGTCAGCCCAAAGTTCCTTGTAAGTAATTAACTTACAGTGTTGTCGGAAAACACAGGTACCGAACTCCCATAGTCAGCTTCCATTGGATTCTTGGTTCAGAGAAAATGACATATTGCAGCAGTCTGTGATATTGAGGAGCATGAGTTGTGTTAGCACATCTTACAGTGAAATGTTCATAAGAGTAACCATTTCATTGTGTTTCTCATTTATTCAGAACTTTCATTGCAGGGCCCGTTCTTTTACATGAGACATTAACCTTTCTGATTGATAATAGAGTTCTGAGGAAGCATATTACACTTCTGAACTTGAATATAGCAAAAATATATTTTTATCTTATTATCATTACAATTTGTTAATCATTAGACTAGCAATTAATGACTTTATTTCAGCTGCAAACCATCTGTTAAGCAAGCCTTGTGATTAACCATGCAATGCTAGGTTTAATATTGTAATAATAATGTGTCAGCTGCTATAAATGAGTATAAGATTATCACTGGAAAATCCATGCTACATAACTTGCCAACTCAAAACTGACATTTCCAGAGCTGGTTTAAAAGGAAATAATATATCTCTGTCTGTGATTCAGTCTTGATCTCTCTCTCTTTCCAGGTGTCATTGTTTTGTCTTTGCAACATATTTCTCTTTCTTTCTGTCTTCTTATCTTTCTATAACCCTCTCTCTACCACTATCTCCCATATCTGCTACTCACTTTCGTTCACTCCTTTTCTTGTTCTCTCCCCTCTCAATTTCTTTCTCTTGTTTTCTATCTTTTACTCACTCTCGTGCCCACTTTCTTTCTCATCCTTTTGTAATTCTGTCATTCTCTTTATCCCTGTTTGAAGAAGTCATACCAGACTCATAATGTTACCTCTATGTCTTTCCACAGATGCTGCCAGACCTGCTGCGTTTCTTCAGCATTCTCTGCATTTGTTTGAAATATCTAGTATCCACAACATTTTGCTTTTATTCTTTATTCCTCTTGTACAACCACTCTCTCTCCTCCTTTCTCTCTCCCTTTCACCGACTTTGTGATCTACATAACACTGTTGTACAGACAAAATTGTTCTTAGTCATAATCATAGAGTTATACACCATAGAAACAGGTCCCGGGATCTGTTGATTAAGTGGTAGTGTCCCTACCTCTGAGTCAGAAGACCCAGGTTCAAGTCCAACCCATTTCAGAGTTACGCTACAACATTGCTGAACAGGCTGATTAGGAATAAACCCTTCAGCTCACCATGTCTATGCTAATCAACATATACCAAATTACAATAATCCCATTAATCTCTACTTGGGCCATAACCTATTTAAGTGCATCTTAAATGTTGCAAATGTACCTGGTTCCACCACCCTCTCAGACAGCACGTTCCATATTTTTACCACCTTCTGGATGAAAAGAAATTTTCTAAGATCGCCTACAAACGACTTACTCCTCATCTTAAACGTATGCCCTCTGGTCTTATACTAATCCGCAATGGGGAAAAGATTCCTACGATGTACCCTATCTTTGCTTCTCATAATTTTGTACACCTCAATCAGATCCAACCCCTCAGCCTCCTCTGTTTCAAGGAAAACAGACTCAGCGTGTCTGGTTTCTCCTTATAACTGCAGCTTTTCATCCCAAGTTACATCCTGGTGAATCTCCTCTGCGCCTGCTCCAGTGCAATCACATGTTTCCAATCGTGCGGCAACCAGAATTGCACACAGTATTCCATCTGTGACTAAACCAATATTTTGTAAAGTTGTAATAAAACGTCTTGCTCTTATATTCTATGCACCAACTAATGAAGGTAAGCATCCCAAATGCCTTTCTCACCACTCTGTCTACCTGTGCTGATATCTTCAGGGATCTGTTGACTTGTACACCAAGGTCCCTTTTTCATCAGTAATCCCTAAGCTCCTACCATTCATTGTGTATATTCTTCCCATATTAGACCTCCTAAAATGCTTTACCTCACATTTATCAGGATTAAATTCCATCTGCCATTGCTGTGCCCAATTTACCAGCTGATCAGACTGTAGCCTGATACCATCCTCCTTGCGATTAACAACACCACCAATTTTTGTGACATCTGCAAACTTAGTAATTATACCTTCGACATTCACATTCAAGTCGTTAACGTGCATAACAAACAGAAAGGGTTTCAGTACCTTATGAACTTATAAAGTGACACTTTCAAATAACTGGCAAAAATGATATATAAAATTATATATAAAAATTATATACATTAAATACCGGAAACTTTACTGTATTATTTTAACCTATTATTATAGTTTTTAAATTTATTTACCTCAATGTAAATATACTTTTTGCTCAATCAATTGCCCACATGTAATGCCAACAGTTGATTCCATTTCAAGTCAATTTCTCCTCAAATATCGCAATCTGTGATGTCTGAGTAGTCAGTTGAAGCTGCGAGTGAGTAGGCTCTCTGCTGGTAAGTTTTCTCTCAGACAAAGTTGCATTATTATTTAAGTGATATATGCTGTAAATAAAGTATAACATTGATTTGTATGCCCCCACAATATATTTCTATGACTTAGTGTGTGTTTTTACATTGATTATGTGGATCTCTTGATTATCTGGAATATTTGATCCTCATCCTCATGGGTACTGGATAGTAAAAGGTTTACTGTACTCATTTGAAGAGAAAAATTAATAGATATTTGGCAGGGAATGGGGCATAGTGTAGATGTAAAGTCAGGATCAAGGTCCAATCAGATACAGGAGGAATACGAGGACAGTCCAGGAGGCAGAGAAGACATGGGCATGGATAAGGCACAAATGAGATCTAGAAATCTAAATTGTACCTATGTTAATGTAAGGAACTTGACTGATAAGGTGAATGAACTTGGAACAGTGATCAACACTTGGGAATATGAGAAGCTTTGTACCTAGGTACTTGTACTTAAGATGGCGCCATAAGAGGCGACAAAAACAAATTTGCTGGAAAAGCTCAGCAGGTCTGGCAGCATCTGTGGTGGAGAAAACAGAGTTAACATTTCGGGTCTGGTGACCCTTCCTCAGAACTGAGGAAGAGGCAACCATAAGAGGCGACGTTGTAAATATTTTCATTATACTCCTGTACTTCTGCACTTGAGGACACATGATAATAAAGGATGTTTGATACTATGATATCATTGTAATCACAGAAACATGATTGAAGGAAGGACAGGATTAGCAGCTCAACATTCCAGGGTATAGATGTTTCAGATGCGATGGGCAGACGTAAGAGTGGTGTGCCCATTAATAATAAAGGAAACCATCTCTGCAGCAATGTAGGGGGACATCCTAGAAGGCTGTTCAAATGGGACAATCTGGATAGAGCTTTGAAATAAGAAAGGGACAGTTACTTTCCCAACTGTCAGAGGGAGATAGAGAAGCAGATATGTAGGCAAATCACAGAACGGTGTGAAAGGATACCAGTAGGGGGTTTCAACTTTGTTAACATTAATTAGGATTGCCTTAGTTTGGAAGGATTACATGGTGGGCAATTTTCAAAGTGTATCCAGGAGGGGTTTTTGTGCCAGTATGTAGATATTCTTACAAGAGATGTGATTGTTGGTTGTGTTAGGTTGACTCCTGATGAAGGGTCACTGGGGTCGAAATATTCACTCTGCTTTCTCCCCATAAATGCTGCCAGACCTGCTGAATTTCACCAGCAGTTTCTGTTTCCGTTATGGTCACTTCATGACAAACTAGAACATTGCAGACATTTACCAACAGCTCCATAGCCCTGCCTGCCATGTTACACAGCATTTACCACTTGTGACAGTTTAATAGTGTTGGTAACCCATTTGTTTCAGAGTAACACAAGAGTGAAAACTAGGCCAGAGCTTTTGTGGTGCACTGGTAGTGTTTCTACCTTTGAGCCATGAGGTTCAGGTCCCAGGTGCTCCAGAGGTGGGTAATAACAGCCTTGAATAAGTTGACATAAAAGCAAGCCTGAAATATAGGCTAATTTAACCAGGCACCCATCGTCCCTGCCAAACCCAACCAACAATAACATTGACTTACCAATTACCTCTCACATTGTTTCACAGACTGCCAGCCCACAAACACTGAGAGACTTATCATCCCCAATTTACAAAGTGTATTGCAATCCTCAACCACAGGTTTATGCTGAGGACCATTTGACACTTTAATTTTAAAACTAACCTATATAATATTTCCTGCAACTAGTTGCATCAATCTGAAGTTCTAAAGAAGTTCAGTTCTGAAGAAGAGTCACTGGACTTGAAACATTAATTCTGCCTTCTCTCCACAAGCTTTACAAGAAATTTCTGGTTTTGTTCCTGATTTCAAGTATCTGCAGTTCTCTGGTTAACTGTATCAATAACTTCTTTCATGTTTTTCATCAACCCAAGAGGTTGGAAGTTGCTTTGTAGCCAATGAAGTACTTGTCAGATGTTCTCACTGTTTGCATTTTGAATGGGAGACCCATAAATAGCTTTATAAAATACATTACAGGCCTTGTATTCAGCAGATACATGTACTGGATCAAGTTGGAAATATGCTCTTGACCCATTACATCAAAGAGGAAGCCTGAAAAAGTAATATATTGCAACCATTAAAAAACTGTATCATCTATTGAACCACCTCAAAGAGCTTGATGTAACGGATGATTTTTTTTTTCGTTGTCTGCATTGCAAAAGTGACTACAATTCAGAATGCTTCATTGGCTGTCAAGTGCTTTGAGAAATCTTCTGGTTATGAAATGTATTATCTCAAGGCAAGTCTTTTTTCTTTTCTTTGAATTTCCAAACTCTGACAGGTCTTCAAATTTAAAACACATTGACAGAATCAAAACATTTTACATTTGCTTCCATTTGCATCATATCTGATGGACTATTGTCTGATTAAGAATTGCACTAGACGAAAAGTTGAAATACATTGCAGGCATTTGGGTAGTTGACATTTCTCTGCACTGTAGTCTATTTGAGGTGTTAGGGACAAGGGATCACATATGCAAAAAAATAAGAGCGTATGAAATAGGAGCAGGAGTAGGCCATCTGGCCCCTTGAGCCTGCTCCCCATTAAATAAGATCATGGCTGATCTTTTCATGGACTCAGGTCCACTTAGCCACCTGCTCACCATAACCCTTTATTCCATTATTGTTCAAAAATCTATCTGTCTTTACCTTAAAAACATTCAAAGAGGTCCGGGCACAATGCCCCCAACCTCCGACAGAGTATCAACTCTGGAGAGTACAACTCACGTTGACCTCTGCAGCATCCATTTGCTCCCAAGATCCCACTGAGGATTGGATTAAATCTAGCAATAGGCCGGATTCAGCGAGCACTCTGATAAACAGTGTACTGACTCAATTTTCCGAATGGCTTCCCTCAGCGCCATGATTAATCCATGACTCAGTAAGGTAACATTATTGCTGAGTGTGGGTTAAATGACTTCACCTCAGAGTGCTATTTTGCTTCTCTTTTCCGTGCATCTTACCTTTCTCATTCAAGGCCATCATGGTCCAATTTATTAAGTCTCATGCAGTACTGGTGTATGCTCTGTCTCATATGGGACAAGATAAGCAGGCAGGAGCTTATCTTGCCCAGAAGGCTGCTAGGCGTGAATAAAATAGATTTGCTGTTCAACCTCTGTTATTCTTCTAAAATAAATGTTAATTCATCTTCTGCCCATGCTGGGAGGCACAAATATCATTTCACCACTGCTAACATTTTTTATATTAAGCTGAATCAAACATGGAATTACAAATGAATCTGGCTACATAAACACAAAGGACAGAAACATCTCCTCCATGATGTTGTCTGAGCAAAGGAAAGAACAGTGAGAAAATATAGTGGGAATCAAACAAGACAAATTTAAGACAAATTTAAGCATTTTCCCTCAAACTGCAAATGTCAACTTCAGAATTTCACCAATGGGCAGTGACTGCCTTTTCTCGATGCATTTGCATCTCATTAAAAGCTCAACTCACCTTAGTTACGCATTACTTCCATTTCTCCTCTTCCCCAACAAACTAACATAAATCAGAGCAGGTTCCTTTCTTTTCATTCAACTGTGGGACGTGGGCGTCACTGGCTAGGCCAATATTTATTGCCTGTCCCTAGTTCCCTTTGTGAAGGTAATGTTGAGCAGCAGTCTGTGTACTGTAGGTTAACCCACCATGACCTTACGGATAGAATTCTGGGATTTTCACAGTGAAGGAACAGCGATATATTTCTAAGTCAGGATGGCGAGTGCTTTGCAGGGGAACTGGCAGTGAATGGTGTTCCCAGATGCAGATGCAGCTTGCTGAATGCTTGTCCTGGCCCTAGACCAAAGTGGAGAGTGAGTTTTCCTATCCTCTGGGCCATGTCCTGAATGTAGAAGCTGGAGCACCACAGTTTGATGGGTCATTACTGGAAGAGGTATGCAGCTGGGCTTTAGATATGATGCTAGAATTCTGAGAGATCCTACCTATACACTTGACACCCAGAGAAAGTCACTCAGGAGCCCGCTTGGAAAATCAATGAGATGAAGAGTGGAATATTCCTTGAGGAATGTAGCTTCAAGTCTTGGAACATACACCATAAACATCATGTAGCAAACACTAACTGGCAATGTAAAAATTCCATTATTGCCTCATTCATTTCCAAGCATGTGACTAAAATTGGCTTTTTGATATATCCAATAGGGCAAAGGCTCAATTCTATGACTACACAAACTGCAAGCATGAAAACACTGTACAATTGAATAATCTGCACTGAAAAACATTGCATGGTTACTTGTACTAACAGAACAGAAGGTTTCCTGATAACCTAGCGAGGGAAAGAAACAAAAAAGGTTTTAGTCTCAGTTATAGATCGATTTATTTGGATGGAATGGCTTAATGCCTTTCCAGACAAAGAACAGTTTACATTTTCATTGGGATTAAGATATATCTTGTAACATGAAATGCTGGCAGATTAGCAGTGACCCTGAATTAGGTTGTCATCATCTTATAGATTCTGTCAGTAAAGACTGCAGGAAATCATGCAGATCAATAAACGAGTTGTTGTACCAAAGCTGTTGGAGATAAAAGATAGACTAAAGTTTTAGAAAGAAGAAAGGCTGGATAGGCTGGGACTTTTTTCACTGGAGCGTAGGAGGTTGAGAGGTGACTTTATAGGAGTTTATAAAATAATGAGGGACATAAATAAAGTTAGTAGTAGTTGTCCTTTCCCTAGGATGGGGAATTTCAAGACTAGGGGACACATTTTTAAGGTGAGAGGAGAGATTTAAAAAAAGACATGAAGGGGCAATTTTTTTTTACACAGAGGGTGGTTTGTGTGTGGAATGAACTTCCTGAGGAAGTGGTGTGGGTACAATTATGTTTAAAAGACATTTGGATAAGTACATGGATAGGAAAAGTTTGGAGGGATATGGGCCAGGAGCAGGCAGGTGGGTCAGTTTAGTTTGGGATTATGTTTGGCATGGACTGGTTGGACCGAAGGGTTTCAGAGATAGTAGGAAGGGTCTAGGCCTGAAACTTCAGCTTTCCTGCTCCTCTGATGCTGCTTGGCCTGCTGTGTTCATCCAGCTCTACACCTTGCTGTCTATGGACCGAAGGGTTTGTTTGCATGCTCCATGACTATGACTATGACTATGTATTGGTCAGACTCCATACCTTCACCAGATAAGAGGGGCAAAGTGTAGATTCAGTCTTTTCGGAACATTTTTGATATTACTCACCAAAATTAGTGGCACAGAACTGCCCTTTGATGGATTACTAATTTCCCATCCTTCTCTGCCAATAGAAAAATTCAGTTCATCACCGTGGCAACATGATACAGTCTACAAATTCAACTAAAGTTGAGATGTCACAAGGTCATGCACTGGATAGGGTTTTTTTTTTAATCTTTCATTGCCCATCTCTAATTGTCCAATGGGCAAATAACAGCCACATTGCTATAGGTCTGGAGTCACATGTAGGCCAGACCAGGTAACAATGGCAGATTTCCTTCCCTAAAGGACATTAGTGAACCAGTTTTTTTTTAAACAGCAATGATGAAATGGTCACCTTATAGCATTTTGTCTTTAATTCCAGATTTTTTTGAATTCAAATTTCACCAGGTGCCACAGTATGATCCAAACCCATGTCCTCAGAATATTAGTTCCTCAGTTCTGACGAAGGGTCACTGGACCCGAAACATTAACTCTGTTTTTTCCTTCACAGGTGCTGTCAGACCTGCTGAGCTTTTCCAGCAACTTTGTTTTTGCTCCTCAGAATATTAGCTTGGAGCTCTGGGTTACTAGTCCAATGTCATTACCACTGAACTATGTCGTCTGCTTAGGAAGCCATTCATTCAGCCCATCTATTCAAGAGGAGTTTACAGTTTTGCCTCTTATGCCTCAAAAACTCTGCAATATTGTCCTGTAAAACTATTTTTTTTTACCTCATCGATGTTGATATTGGAATGTGCAATATTTGGTGTTGTAAAAGAAAAATTGTTCATGGGACATAGCCATTTTCAGTAAGACCAATATTTGTTTGCCATCCATAATTGACCTTTGGGAAGCTGGTGTTTAACCAGCTGGGTGGTATGGTAGCTCAGTGGTTAGCTTAACAATGCCAGGGAACCCAGTTCGATTCCAGCCTTGGATGACTGTCTGTGTGGAGTTTGCACGTTCTCCTCTTTCCGTTTGCGGGTTTCCTCTGTGCGCTCCAGTTTCCAAACCACAGTCCAAAGATGTGCAGATTAGGTGGATTGGCCATGCTAAATTGATTGCCCAACATGTCCAGGAATGTGTAGGCTACATGGGTTAGCCACGGGAAATGCAGGGTTGCAGGAATAGGGTGGAGGGTTGGGTCTGGGTAGGATGCTCTTCAGAGGGTTGGTGCAGACTGAATGGGCCAAATGATCTCTTTCTGTATTACATGGATACTATAATTAATCAAGAACAGGACCAGCAGACCCATTTAGATTGAGGTCATTGTATCACGGAGACATGATCTTCTTAGAGTTCACCAGAAATCCCCTCTTTCAAGGTATTGCCAGTACAGAACATGATTATTGGTGAAATAAAGAGACATGTTGCTGGAAGTTTTGTAGCGTGTCTCTCTTCAGCAATATTAAAGTGTAATATTTCACGTTTCCAGAAACCATCAGTGGTTCCTGGTGGCCACACGATATCGCCTTGCTGTCATTGTGGAGATAAATTCACTCTGACTGTAATATCATTGCAACATCTGATATATATAGTGAGCAGTTCCTGTGTTTGCTATCCCCAGTACAGCATTTCCAAAACAAATCTTATTTAAGTGAATCTGATTTTCATAGAATCACAGAATTATTACAATGCAGAAGCAGGCCATTCAGCCCATCGTGCCTGCACATGTTCCATTATTTAATACTAACCTCCTGCCTTTTCCCCATCTCCTTGCACATCATTTCTATCTATATAACTGTCCAATGCCCCTACTGAATGCCTCAATTTAACCTGCCTGCACACATTTCCAGGCAGTGCATTCTGCAGCCCAACTACTCATTGTGAAAAAAAAGCTTTCTCTCACATCGCCCTTGCTTCGTCTGCACACCACTTTAAATTTATGCCCTCTCATTTCTTTCTTTTACAAATGGGAATAACTTCTCCCTATCTATTCTGTCCAGCCCATTCATAGTTTTGAAAATGTCCTCTGAATATTATTCTCTCCAAGGAGAACAGTCTCAATTTCTTCAAACTATCCTTATAACTTAAATGTTTTTTGTTTAATTCATTCACCGAATGTGGACATCACTGACTGGAGCTGCATTTACCGTCCATCCCAAGTTTCCCTTGTGAAGCTAGTGGTCTGCTATGGGTGTCAGTGGCTTGTCATAGCCAATTTGGATTGGTTGCCGATTACAATATTTATGAATAAATGTTTGAGTCTGTTAGGATTAAGTGAAACATTTTCAAATGACCTTTTAGTTGAAGATGCTTGTACCGTATTTAGGCTGTTATTTTTTAATTTAGTTTTTAAGTGTTTGAACACATTATGGCACACTTTCAGCGCAGGTGAGATTTCACCTGGATCTCCTGGCCCAAAAGTAGGGATGCTGACGACTGCACCACAGGAGCTCCAAGCTGTCATTTTCATGCAGGCAGTATCTTTTTATTACAAATGTGTCACACTAGACAAACTGATGAACAGACGAATACAATTTCAGAAATATCTAACTTCATCAGTAGTAGTGTTTAGTCTCATGATCTCCATCACGGAGTTGCCTGTTGAATGTTTTGTTTGTGTCACTGTCGATGTGCCTTAAAATATTAATTTATATTAACTTTTTTCTCTTTCCCACCCTTTCCCACCTTTGTGATTGCCATCTATCTCACTGTCCATCCTTCCCTTCCTCTTCCCACATCTTCCCATCCCAAACCCAATCCCATTCCCCATCACCCATCCCCTTGCTCCATCACTTGGTGAATCAACATTTCAACATCATCGAAGACGGAAGTGGACTCAAGCCATCACCACAACCATTGACCACATATTTTACATTTGTCTGTACCATTGGCTTTTCCTGGATGTTATCTTAGAGTTAGGGCGGTGTACATAGTGCTGGTGCTGACTACCTTTTGTTGAATTGGCTGTGTGG